TTGAACAGAAATGAGGAAAGACCAGATTAGTTGTGGAAGGATATCAAGATTATTAGCCAGGAAGAGTGCAAAAGTTCATTACAAAGACAGAGGTGGAAGAAAAGACCAAGATGGATGGCAGAAGACACTGAATATTGCACTAGAACACTGAGAAGCCAAAGCAGAGGGAAGAACTCAAGATATTAAACAGCTGAACAGAAGATTTCAAAAGGCAGTGCAGGAAGACAAAGTAAACATTTTTTGATAGTTGTTAATATAGTGAAATACATTGATTATTTTATTCAACTGATTTATTATTGCCAATTGACATTTCTAGGATAAACTTCTCACAATTTTTTAGATTTTATTCTGCTAAAATTGTGTTTAAAATTTGTGCATCTATGTTTATGAAGGATCTACAATTATTTTTATTGCAATGTCTCTAGTGTTATCAGGGCAATGCTGTAATCCTGGACATGTTACTTTGGAGGCATTTGTCTTCAATTTTCTGATGTTATGTAGAAGTGGTATTACTTCTCAGATACAGGCTTTGCAGAAGAAGCTAGCCATAATTAGGAGTTTAGCTATATATTTAATGTCTTTCATAAAGGACTATTTAGGTCATCTTTTTCCCCTTCAGTGCATTATACTATTTTTTTTAATTCTAAGTAATTTTATCTAAGATGTGCAATTTGTGAAATTTTGTAATATTTAAAATTATTTTATCATCCTTTTAAAACAGAACCCTAGCTAAGTGGTTGGCTGCTAATGGAAAGGTCACAGTTTGAACCTACCAGCCACTCCCTGACCTAAAAGATCTGGCAGTCTTTTTCCATAAATACTGTGGCTTTGAAACCCTCTGAGCAGTTCTACTCTGTCCTAGAGCTTGCTATGAATTGCAATTAAGTCAAAGCAGCAGATTTGAAATTTTAATTTTTGCATTTCCCCTTTAAAATCTGTAAAGATGTCATTGTTGTTACAGTTATTGTTAATTTATGTCTTTGCCCTCTCTCCTTACCACCCCTCATGCAGACCTGTATTGCTAAAAGCTTACCAACTTCATTGTTCTAATAGAACTTTTAGTTATGCTGATTTTTATATTTCCTGCCTTCTATATTGTTATTTACTGCTCTCCTCTTTATGACATTCTTCTGTTTGCTTTAGCCTTGTTTTTGCAATTAAAATTTCTTGTGTGGAGACTGAGGTCATAGGTTTGAGATCTTTTCTCCCTCACAATATAGGCCTTTTATTATTATATGTTTAGTGCTGTATATTTCTTCCAAAATATTGCACTAACTGTAAGTCACAAATTTACATGTGTTGCTTTCATTTTCACTGCTGTTGTGTGCTGTTGAGTCAGTATCAACCCTAATCTGACCCTCCAGTGAGTTTTCAGAGGCACTTAATTGCTTGGGAGGTGATTCATTGCCCATTATTCTCCTCCAGAGTGGCTACTGGATTTGAACCCTGTGCTTTCAGGACTGTAGCATAACTTCTTACCACCAAACCTCCCTTTCATTTTCATTACATCAAAATATATTTTTTTTTCCTTTGCTTCCAGTGAATGACTTAAATACACTCAATAATCAACTATTTTGTTGTTAGATGCCATCAAGTTATAGTGCTCCTATACAACAGACTGAAATATTGCCCAAACATTCACCGATCTCACAATTTCCACTGTGGAAATAGTATGCAATCAAGAGTCAATAATATGGAAAGAAGAAATCCAAGCTACACTGAAGGCATTAGTAAAGAATAAGACCCTGGGAATTAACAGAACATCAACTGATATGTTTCAGCAATGCTGGAAACACTCTTTTATGTTGATCAAGAAATGTGGAAGATAACTACCTTCTCACAGATACCTCAAAGATATTTATATCTGTGCCCATTCCAAAGATTATTAAACAATATCCTTTCTCTCACTTGCAAGTAAAACTTAAGATAATTTAAAAACTTGCTGCAGTACATTGACTGGCAAATATCAGAAATTAAAGTTAATTTCAGAAAAGGCTGTGGAATGAAGGATATCATTGCTGATGTCAGGTGGATCTTGGCTGAAGGCTAAGAATGTCAGAAAGATAATTTTTTATCCAACTTTTTGTATGGACCCCAAAATATTATAGACATTAAGAAGAATGGAAATTAAAGAACACTTAATTGTGCTCCTGAGAAACCTGTATACAGTCCAAGAAGCAGAACAAGGGAATACTGCCTGGTTTAGAATCAGGAAAGGTGTGTGCCAGGTTTGTATCTTTTCTTCATACCTTTCCAATCTTTATGCTGAACAAATTATCCTAGAAGTTGGATTATGAGAAGAATACAGTATCAAGATTGGTGTAAGCAAATACTGATGAAGATCAAAGATTACAATCTTTATTATAAAGAAAACAAAAATGCTCACAATTAGATTAATAAGTAACATTACAGTAAACAGAATAGACTGAAGTTATTAAGGATTTTACTTGAAGTCATGGTATTTTCAATATCCTCAAACTCTTGCAAAACCTCATTGAGTTGAAACTGACTCAGAGCTGACCCTCTATTGGGTTTTTGAGACTGTGAATTGCAGTGAGGAGATTGCTCATCTTTTTCTTTTGATATATTTGAACCACCAGTCTTTGGGTTGGCAGTGCAACTCCTTTTTTTAATGTACCACCAGAGTTCACTAGAATATATAAAAATTGAGATAACTTAAAAGGTAAGATATAAGAGATGAAATAATAATAGTGTCACAAGGAGGGACCAGTCCTTGGCGGGGACATTATGCTTAAAAGGGTGAAAGGACAAGAGAGGAAGACTTTTGACAAAATAGACTGACTTAGTGACTGGAGTAATGGTGGTAGGAGTTTCAGAGAAAATGAGATTGGCTCAAGATAAAGCTGAATTCAGAACTATTGTACATAGGGTTGCTATGAGTTACAAGTAACTTGAAAGCACAACAGTAACAACATTTTTATATTACTATAAAAAATTTTTTATCAAAGTTCTTCTTTAAAAAGTTCTATTGGGAAAGAATATTATTCATTGATCTATTCATCACCTAACAGAAAATATTCATTGTTAAAAACATAAGTAGCTGCTTATTCTAAAATATTTCTATATACAGTAATCCACTCAACAGGCCACACTGACACATTTTCCGCCACAGTGGGTTTAAATATAGTCGAGATTATCAGGATGTGCAGGATTGGACAAGGTTTTGATATGTTATAAGGTCAATATGAATCAGTTTATCTGGCTACATTGAACAACAGTGGTCCACTCAACACTAAATTCCTATTATAATGTACTAACTACAATGTACTCTTAGAATCAACTACTCTACATTAAGTATATATGCACGTGTGATATGCCAATAATATGCAAGTTCATTGAGTTGATTTTAACTTTAAAAAAACTCATAGGACATAATAGAGTTGTACTGTAAGGTTTCCAAGGCTGTAATTCTTTATGGAAGCAGATTTCTTCATTTTTCTCCCAAGGAGGGTTTGGAGGGCATAAGCCACTGAATACTTAACAATTGTGCCAAGTCTCCTTGTATACCCTAGATATGAGATATGTATATGAAAATTCATAAAAATATGTCCTTTCTCATAAGACCCACACAACATTTAGTGCAATTGGTAAGACTACATTTAGTGTCTAAAGAATTTTTACTGATATTAGAAAAATACATGCTATGAATACAAAAATTCTCTAAGAATTTAGCAAATACTAACATTGAACATAAATTCATTGTAGTCATATATAGAAAAGAGGAATTCTAAAGTCTATTTTTAAAAGTTTCTAGTTTTTATCAGGTTAGTAATTCTTTAACATGTGCATATTTATTTGTGTGTAGTACAAAAAATGAAGCAAAGAAAATTCTGACTCATAAATGTTAGAATATGTTTTATGAATGGTTGGAAGGACGGCCTGAATTCTTTCTACATCTTAGAACAGAGCAGGGTGTTATGGCAATGAAAAGGTCATTGTCAAATGCACAGCCATTGTCAAAATTCATCTGTCCATGTTAAAAAACACACCATACATTTCTATATTGTTTTATGCTGTATTTTATTTCAGGTCACATACCTACTTGGAAGGTTCTCAAACATCAAGCAACAAGTGATTTGTAAGCAAAAAATCATAGTCTTTGATAGTAGGATTACATGAAGATACAAATTGCTACATTTTCTAATTCCAAAGACTTGCTTTCTGGGACTTCATGAATTGTAGCTATGGGATACCTGAGATGTATCTTGCTCCAATTAACATCATCATGCTACTCACTATATAAATGCCCAAGGGTAGACTAGAGAAGATAGCAGAGTCACTCTTGTCAGAACACTGAGACGTTACCCAGCCCATTGACTTCATCACACCTTTCTTCCATGTAGCATAACGAATTTCACTCTCCGTGGCCTGAATTTGTGGTTCAAATCGTTCTGTCATAGTGGATGTCAAGTTTTCAGGTTCTAGACTCCAAACGCCCACTCCTTCTGCTGCTCCTGCTGCCATGGCAACTCCAAGTGCAGTTGACTCAGTAAGACAGGTCTTAATCAGTGGTATATGCAGAATATCTGCTTGCAGTTGCATAAGAACCCTGTTGTTAGTCATTACTCCATCTACCTGCAAGTGATCGAAGGGAATCCCGCAGTCACGGTTCATGGCATCCAAAATCTCTCGGGTTTGGAAACAAATTGCTTCTAAGGCAGCAAAAGCAATATGACATTTGTTGGTGAACTGAGTGAGACCACAGATGATCCCTCTTGCACTGGGCTCCCAATAAGGGGCATATAACCCAGAAAATGCTGGAATGAAGTAGCAGCCATATGAAGTACCAACTTCTTTAGCAAGAGTTTCGATTTCTTCTAGAGTCTCTAGGATTCCAAGGTTATCTTTCAGCCAGTGAATAAGAGCACCAGCTATAGCAACAGACCCTTCCAATGCATAAATTACTGGCTTGTCTCTTCCAAGTTTGTAAGCCACTGTGGTCAGAAGGCCGTGGTCAGAAAACACACACTTGGGACCTGTATTACATAGTAAGAAGCAGCCGGTTCCATATGTGTTTTTGGCTCGTCCTTCCTGGAAGCACTTTTGTCCTACTAATGCAGCAGATTGGTCCCCCAAACATGCAGATATTGGCACACCTTCCAAGCACCCTGCTTTCACTTGGCCATAGATCTCAGAAGAACTCCAGACTTTTGGCAGAATATCCATTGGAATTTCAAAAAAGTCACAGAGCTCTTTATCCCATTCCAAAGAATGAATGTTGAAAAGCATTGTCCTACTTGCATTTGTGACATCTGTACAGTGGACACCTCCATTGACTCCTCCTGTCAAATTCCAGATAAGCCATGAATCAATTGTGCCAAAAAGCGCTCTACCTTCTTCCACGGCCTTTTGAACTTGTTTCACGTTGTCAAAAATCCAACGAAGCTTCACCGCACTGAAGTAAGTGCTAAGTGGAAGGCCTGTCTTGGACTTTACGAAGTTATTATTCCCGGGTATTCTTTTGCAGAGCTTCTCGACAGTACTCTGTGTTCTTAGATCAAGCCACACCAGAGCATTATAAAGCGGCTCTCCAGTTAATTTGTCCCAGACTATAGTGGTCTCCCTCTGGTTGCCGACGCCAATAGCTTTTACGTTGGATATATCAATGTTAAGTTCATCAAGTTTCTCACACGTTCTCTCCATACACTCATAGACCGACTGCAGAATTTCCTTGGGGTCTTGTTCCACCCAGCCTTCCTTTGGAAAGTCTTGTGTTAATTCGACTTCATAATGGGTAAGTAGTTCTGATGTTTTTGAATTGAAAATCAGAAAGCTACTGGCGCTGGTGGCTTGGACCACTGCGCCCACCAACGGCCCCTCAACTGCTTTCTTCTGGGCCGCCATGAACCGGATGGGCGGGACTGCGCTTGGGCGGTTTCCCTGGCGACAGTGGAAGGAGGCGGGCGGGGCGGGGCGCGAGCCCGAGGCGCGTTCCAGGGGGAGGGAGGCGGCACTTGGCGCTGGGAGGCGCGCGAGGCAGCATCTCTGCTCCGCTGTGCTTTCTGGTCCAGGCTTCATCCCAACCTCTCACTTACTTCAAAGTATTTTCATTTAACGAAACAACAAGAAGAAAAGTTGTGTATTTAGCAATGTAATTACTGCTTGTGATCTTCATTCTAATACGGTTGTGAGATTTCCCTTGACAGTTCTTGAAATGGAGGTCTACAACAGACGAATTATTCCAGCTTTTAAATGTGTTTTGTAGAGTTTTCCGTTTTAATATATCAAATAATGTTTACTCTGCATATAGAATTCTAGCTAACAGGTTTTTATTTTCTTTTATTTCAATACTGGAAAACTTTTGTTCTACTGTCTTCTGCCATCTATTCAGTTGAAAACTTTGCTGTTACTTTAATATTCTTAAGCATCTTCCTCCATCCTCAACTCCTTTTAACTACCTGTAAGACTTCTCTTGTAAGAGTTTTGGCTTCCTTTAACAGTAAGTGCCTTATTCTAGCATTTCACTCTTATTTCCTGTGTTTGGGGTTCCTTGAATTACTTGGATATGTGGGTTTGTTGGTTCCAACATTTTAGGAAAATTTGGGGTCATTATTTACTTAAATATGTTTTTTTTTTTCTTCTGCGCCCTCTAGTTTCCTCAACCCAAAACAAAAATCAAACCCAGTCTTGGGATATATTTTCTGATTCCTAGACACCTTATAAGACTGAGTGAACTGTCTTACAGGTCCCTGAGGAGGTTTGAATAGAACTCCACTATGGGCTTCAAGGCTGTCATTTAAGGGAGAAAGCAGCCGATCTTTCTCCTGAAGCACGTCTAGAGGATTTGAACAATTAGCCTTTCAGTTAGCAGCCAGCTGACTAAGAATTGTGTCACTAGAGATCATCACTTCCTCTCCTCTCTTAAAGTTATCTCCCAGATCACTGATGCTCTCTTTATTTGTTGTTATTATTGTTTATTTTTTTAATTCTTTTTCTTTGTGTTTTCATTTTGCTTACACTATATTGTTAATTCTGTAAGTTCACTTTTTTCCCTCTCAGTGTCATCATTAATTTCTTATTTCATACTCTGTAGTTTCATCCTATGTATCCAGTTTAGATCTTTTAGATAGCTGCTAAACTTTTAAAACATTAATTCAGTAACTCTGACTCTTTTCATATTGTTGTGTACCATAGAGTCAGAATCAACTCAAAGCTGACCCTTTGATGGGTTTTCAGAGGCAGTTAATCACACTGGAGGAGATTGCCCATCTTTTCATATGACACTTTCCTGATTCTAACACCAGTGTCAATTCTTACTCAGTTTGGATTACTTATTTCCTTCTTTTTGCATGGTTGATCTGACAGCAGATATTATGAAGGTCACCTGGTAGAGTACTGGATACATATTATGTTCTTACATATGTTTTTAGCTTTGCTCTGAAGTGAAGTTACTTGGAAATAGTTTCATTCTTTTAGGTCTTGTTTTATGGGTTTGTTAGGTGGGATCAGGGCAATGCTCACTCAATGACCACCTCTCCCTTCTTTTGATGATCCCTTTCTGTATGCTCTACACAATGCCCATGAAAATATTTTGCTTTCCAGTCAGGCTAATAGGAATAGTCTCTGTTTGCAGTTTTGGTGAGCACTGGATATTGGCACTCTAATTTTACCATGTGGATCCATAAATAGCCACAAATACATGCCCTGATCAATTCTCAGCTGAATACTCAAGAACTGAGTATCACGAAGATTTTTGGAGTTCTCTGTGTCCTTTTCCTTCTGGCATTATGTTCTCTAGCTTCCTTCCTCTGAATAATACTTAGCTCCATCTGTTCACCACAAAAGTCACTTGGGCTCCTCATCTCCCTCCTGTGCCCTCAATACACTCCCAGAGCAATAAGTTAATATAACAATGTACATATTTCTCATTTATCAACATGGTTAGATTCCAAGGGCCAGGTTGTTATGTGAAAATTGGCATCACACATAGGAGGACCATATAAGATCACAAACTGGAGGATGAATAGATGATTTACATAATTGCCAAATTTTCTTGTAACAGCCACTCAGTATCAAAACCTAGCCAAACTGGCATTAACCTTAATCCTCACAGCCAGGGTTACCCTCTCCTCACACTTTGTTATTCATTATTGTTAGACATAGGTGGTTAATGTGAAAAATAGCTCCATGTAGTATTTTTTGTACTGTTGCAATAAATGAGATATATTGGGTAAATAGTTGCTCAGTAAGAAAGAGGTGTATGCTCATTGTTTCATATCTCTTAGAGACACTCTCCTTCATTTCCAGAGACCTAGCACCTTGGCTCCTCCTGCTCATAATGGAACTTCCTGAAATGTTTTAGTGTAATTTAAGTCAATTTTTTTTGAACAGTGACAATATACTTCCTGTATCTTCTTTTGATACTTCCTGATCATTCAGCATATTGCCTATGTTTGTTGTTATGTGCCATCAAGTTGCCTGTGACTCACATCAACCCTATGTACAATGGCTCTGAAACCTGCCCTGTCCGCAGTCAGTCTCACTGACTCCAACACACCTACTCCTACTGCCCCAATTACTGTATCAATACATTTCATCTGTCTTCATACATGTCTCCCTCTACTGCACTGTCCCTCCACACTTCCAAGTATGATACCTTTCTCCAAGGATTGTTCCTTCCTAGCCACATGTCCAAAGTATTTGAGATGAAACTTCAAAATCCTAGCCTCCAAGGAGAAATTTTGTTTCACCCCCTCCAAGACAGATTTGTTTTCTTGGCAGTCCATGCGTGGTATGTTCAAGGCTCTTCTCCAGCACCACAACTCAAAGGCTTCAATTCTTTTTTTCATCCTTAGACATTGTCCAGCTCTCTGATGCAGAGCAAGTAATTGCAAAGACCATGGCCTGGATCACATCTTAGTCTCCAGACTAATATTGTTGATTTTCAGTACTCTGGAAAGGTCCCTGATGGCAGATTTTCCCAATGCAGTTTGTCTTTTGATTTCCTGATGCCCACAGAATCCTTCAATATTGCAACTCAAAGCTTAAAATTATTTTTCAGTTCTCTCAACTTGAGAAATGCAGAGCAAATTCTTCTCTTTTCATCTCCCAATTCCAAATCTCTGCTCACTGCATTATAATACTTAGCTTTTACTTCTTTAGCTGCTCTTTGAAATCTGATGTTAACCTTTATTCTTCAGCATATTTTCCCTTTATTTTGACTTCTTAAAGGTCTAGTAAAATTTTCAGAATCTCTTCTGACATCCATTTTGATGTTTTTCTGTCCCTTGTCTCTTTGTAATGACCTTTTGCTCTCTTCATGGATGATATCCTTGAGGTCAGGCTACAACTTATTTAGTCTTTGATTATTGGTGTTCAACGCTTCAAACCTATTTTTAAATTTAAGTGGTAAAGACTTAAGAACATATTTCTTCCTATTTCCCCCAAAAAAGGTGGTCTAGCAGAATGTGGACATCATAGAACCATATCATTACTATCACATGCAAGGAAAATAATTCTGAAGATCATTTAAAAATGCTAGAACAGTACATATAAAAGGCATTTCCAGAAGTTCAAGCGGGATTTAGAAGAGGGTGTACCACTACTAATATCATTACTGATGTCAGATAGTTCCTGGCTGTAAGTAAAGAATACCAGAGGATTGTCTATTTCTGGTTTGTTGACTATGCAAATTCTTTTGACTACGCAGTTCATAACAAATTATGACTAACATTGAAAGGTGTGCACCAGAGTTGTATCTTTTCTTCATACCTATTCAATCTTGTTCTGAGCAAGTCACTTGACAATCTGGGTTCCATGAAGAATAATGTGGTATCAGAATCAGAGAAAGACTCATCAATAACCTATGCTCTGCAGATGAAACAACCTTGCATGATGAAAATGAGGAGGACTTGAAGCACTTGCTGCAGAAGATCAAAGAATGCAGCCTTCCAAAAGGGTTGCATCTTAATGTCAAGAAAACAAGAATTCTCTCCACTGGACCAATAGCCAAAATAATGATTAGTTGAGAAAAGACTGAAGTTATCAATGGTTTAATCTTACTTGGATCCACAATCAACACCCTTACTAATAGCGGTCAGGAGATCAGATGTATTACACTGGGAAAGTGTACAGTCAGGGAAATCTCCAATTTATTGAGGAGTTATGATGTCATTTTGAGGCCTAAGGGGCATCTGATTCTGGCCATGGTCTTTCCCATAGCTTGTTATGCAACTATTTGAGATATGGACAATGAAGAAGGATGACAGAAGAAAAATTGATACCTTTGAGCTGTGGTGTTAGAGAAGCATGTTGAAGAGTCCATGGACTGCCAAAAGAACAAACAAATATGTCTTGAAAAAAGAATAGCCAGAGTGCTCCTTGGAGGCAAAGTTGATAAAGTTTCATCTTACGTACTTTGGCAATGTATTTAGGAGAGGCTATTCCTTGGGGAGGGACATTAAGCTTGGAAAGGGTAGAGGGTTGGTGAAAGAGAGGAAGACCCTCAACTAAATGGATTAAC